AAAAAAAAAAAAAACAACTCAGTTGGGCTAACCACAAATGAGAAATATTTTTACACACCAACACATGCATGTGTCCGCAAAAAAAAGGCAACCGTGAAAAGGACAGTCGCGACCATAAAAACCGCTTAAAAGACAACCGTTAGCGCAACAACAGCGTAAAAAACAACACCAAATATTCTGCGGCATGCATTTAAAATTGCGCTCTTCATGAAAAAATGTGGAAAGTGTTAACACAGCGCTTTATCTCTTCACAGATGTAAAACGGTATTTTTTATTTTTTTTGTTCTTCTTTGTCATTCTTTTTGGTGTTGTTTTTTTTTTTTTTTTTTTTTTTTTCGCTTTTTCGGCATCCTGCGTTTGTGCGCAGATTTAGCTCTGTTTGCCCTGTTGCAGAGAGGAACGAAAAACGCGTCCGTGAAAAACAGAAATTAAAAAAAAAATGCTCCGAGCGCATTCGTAGACTTGCGCAAAAGATTGGCGCACCACTCATTTGTGCACACCTTACTGTTGTGCTACCATTCGGATTTTTTTTTTTTTTTGAACTAGCGAAAATTGTCATTTGACACAGTTTTCGTCTGTTGCACAAGTTTTATTTTATTTTATTTTTTTTTTTTTTTTGGTACGCGCCGCTTTATAGAGGGGTGTGTGCCTCTGTCTAGACGCGGCGTGCGTGGCGTAGGGAGGAAGCGGCCCTAGGTAGGACACTTTCCACATGCGCCATGTGCAACGAAGATTTTGTCATCGTCTCTGCAGCGTTACAGCGCACCGCATTTGTCGCGCGTCCGTAGCGCATCTTCCCCGCTTGCGTGCCAAACCCGATGGGGCGCGTGCGCAAAGCGAAAAAGGCGGCACCGCCGCTATCAAAGAACACGCTTCGGGTGCTGCACATTATTATGGCGATCGGCTTCATCAGTGCAGTGCCGCAAATCCTAACCACGGTAATGACAACCTGGAGGGAAGCAGAACCCATCGAGTACAAGTATATGTTTAGAGGGAGTGAGCATTCCTTGTACGTGGACTATACTTACTACGGGTTGTACAAAGTGATTTATGACGATAAGCATGTGGAGACGTGGACTCAGAGGGTACAAAATATGCGAAGTAAAGGAAGTGAAGGAATTCAAGTCGGCCGAAAAAGTGAGTCTGCTGGAAGTCTATCCTTGTGGACATCAGCATGTCAGGAGGCTTGTCGAGATGCCATTATCAGGCGTATAGAAGCATACGAAAGAGTTTCATTCATTTCGTTAATTTTGCTTTGTGGCATCCTTTTGTCCTGTACCCTCATCATTCTATGCATTGGATGGAACATACTTTTCTCGAAGAGTATTCTCATTTCAATGGCTTGTTTCATGTTGTCTTTTATAATTAACGGAGGCATAGGGACTTATTGGTATTACGAGACAGACCTCTCCTGGAACCTAGTCACTAAGGCTCAACAGTATCCTTTTCCCAAGTGCTCCTACTGCTTTTATATATTTATGATTACCACCGGGGTGTACGCTTTATGTTTTATTTGCCTTCTTATGTTGGACCTATACAATAAGAACGCACAAAAGAAGTCCCACATGGACCAGATGACTCTACAAAACAGGAACGCTATGAACGCAAAGAATTTATATCAACCCTTATTCGATGGTCAAGCCAATATGATGATGTCCAGGAGTGCCAGCTATACAAATCTTATGCCTTTCGGGAACGGCGCTGAGATGGGTGGTGGTCCTATGGGTACAGGAGTCATGGGGGGACCACCGGTCCCTAACTTTTTACAATATAATAAAACTAATTTAAATCAATACGGAGGGATAAATCATAATGGCTTCCCTGGGTTCAGAAACATGCCTCCTGGTATGGGTATGCCGATGCCCCCTGGAATGTCCCCTGCTGGAATTCCCCCAGGGGTTCCTCCAGGGATGAGTTCACCCATGCAAAATAATTTGAACCCTAATTTTTTCCCACAAATGCCAAAGCAGAATACCTACTCAGGCTCACCGTCCTTCCAACAGAACCTCCCCAACTTTAATATGTTTCAAGGCCAAAACACGCCTAACATGTCTTCCGGGATGTTTTACCCGCGCCAGTATTCCGGCATGGATTACGACAATATAAACAACCCCTTCAGTGCGAACAAGCCCTTTAAGTTCTGACCATTTGGAGGACCCGCCTGAGTAGGAGAAGCCCCCACGCGGGGCGAAAACCACCAGATGTGCAATTCACCCGGTCCAATCCTCGTGGCTGCATCAACACATATACGCATGCATAGATATTGTATGCCGCCAACCTACGTAACTGTGCCGTGCGATACACACACTCTACTTTTTTTTTTTTTGGTTTTTTTCCCTTTGTGCCAATAATTCGACTAAGTAAAAAAAAGGAAAGGATAAAAAAAATTGTAAAAATACAATTGGGAAGAATCAGTTGTGCGTTTGGTAGAAGGCGAGAAGTATTGGAAGCTTCTCCAACAGTACGGCATCCGCTACTGTTTTTGTTTAAATATTTTGTTCATATGTTTTGTTCAAATGTTTGTGGAAGGCGCATAACAGGACCGGCGAGATGAACACACTTCTACATGAGGGCCAACCGCTTATGCCAACTGGGCGATCATACATTAATAAATTTATGGGCCATTTATTATTTTTTTTTTTGTGCGTCCGACAAAAGTGGAAAAGGCGAGTCCTCACCATGTGCGCACTGTCATTGGTTTAGCACTTGTGGGTGTGGAGCCGGGGAGAATTTTATGTTAAAATTTGGGAACCCCAGTTTGTTCCATCTGGCTATGTATATACCATCATCACGTGCGCGCATTTATATACTATATACAGTGGCGTGCTTGTGAAAATTTTTTTTTCTTTTTTTTTTTTTGTGAGGGGAAGGCACAAACAACGAAAGGTTTTTCTCCTGTGGCTCTATTGTTGAACCCTCAAGGGCGCGCTTCACCAAGAAGTTTTTTTTTTTTTTTTTTTTTTGTTCCAGCGCGATTTTGTTTTATTCGTCCCAGGGGATGATACAAAAAAAAAAAAGGCGCCCTTGTGGGGAGAAGCCGAACCGGGGAAATCCTCATCTTTTACCATACAAGGGGTGGGGAAGCAAACAAACGTGTATGTCCCCATATGTAGGTAACCCCCCGCAATTAGGAGCCTCTCCAAGAAGGCAAGTAAAAAATAAACAGTGGTAGGGGAAAAAATATAAAAACATTTCTCCCTAGCAACCACGCATGCGGCCATGGAGTGCCTCAGCAAAATTAATCTCATACAAAAAGTGAACGCGGAGCTTTACAAGAGTCTTGGGGTGGAGGATGACAACTTGGCAGAATACTTAATCTACTTGTGTAAAAAAGCCAAATCGTTGGAAGAATTTTGTAAAGACGTGTTTGAAAATGGAGGTGAAATTGAACAGTCTGTTTTAAAGTACCTCTACGATATTATTAAGCGCCCCGGTGGGGACTCTGCAGGCAAGGCGTCCGGGGGGAAGGAAACCAGGACAGATGATGATGAGCAGGAAGAAGAGGATGGAGTGGACAAGGAGAACAGACTGGAAGTTAAAATGATTGAAAAGAAGAACGAGAAGATGAAGGGGTTCCACTGCTTGGCCATTAAGAATGACGAGCAGTTGACCAGGCTGTCCGATGGGAGCGGCGTGGAGGCGGGTAGCGACACTGCCACGGGAAGCAGGGGGGCGCGCCCTGGGAAAAGAAGCCACCATCGAGATAGGAGCCACAGTCAGGATGGAAGCCATACGCGTGATGGGGGTCGCCATGCGCACCGCGACCGAGATAGGCATCGCCATCGAGGTAGAAGCCACAGCCGCGAAGGGGATCGCCATGTGCGTGATGGGGATCACCATCGAGATCGGGATCGGCATCGCGATAGGGATAGACATGGAGAGCGCCGTCGAGATAGAAGCCGCAGCCGAAGCCGAAGCCGGGACGGGGACCACAAAAGAAGGCGACGAGAAGGGGTAGACTCGCGCGCTCTACGGGTGAACAACATTTTCACTGCAACCGTCAGCAAAATCATGGACTTCGGAATGTTCGTCTCGTTCAGGACCATCCCGGAGGGATACAAAGAAGGGCTCGTACATTGCACAGATATATTACCAAACCGCAAACGAGTAACTAATATGAATGAAAAATTTCAAAAAGGAATGAAAGTCAAAGTGAAGGTCCAAGCAATATTTGGAGAAAAAATACATTTGAACATGTCTGAGGTGGACCAGAAGACAGGACAGAATCTGGTTAGTGATGATGAGGATGATGGTGATGAAGGAAGTGCAAACAGAAAAGGGAAAGAAAAAGATAAAAATGATATGTCCATATTTGACGATCTGCATGAAGATTACAAAGAGTTGAAAAAACACAACTCAGATGTCTTCAAAGAAGACCCCAAAGATACAATAAAGTACGAGAGTGTTATTAAAATGCAAAGCGATTACTCCAAGTGGGAAATACAGCAGCTAATAAAAAGTGGTATAATGCATGATGAACAAATAAAACAGGAATATAAGAATTTACGAAATGACGAGAAGATTGAAGATGAAGAAGAAATAATTGAAATTGAGGTGAACGAAAGAGAGCCAGCTTTTTTAAAAGGACAAACGACTAAAGCTGGGGCTAAATTGTCACCCATACAAGTTATTGTTAATGCAGAAGGATCTTTAGCAAGAGCTATAACTACTACTTCTGCTTTGGCCAAAGAGAGAAAGGAACAAAAGCAAAATGAACAAAACGCCATTTACGATAGTATCCCTAAAGATATTAGTAGACCATGGGAGGATCCAAAGCCTGAGTTGGGAGAAAGAACTATAGCAGAGGCTTTGAAGAATATTGGCAAAAATTATGACCTCCCTGAATGGAGAAAAAATTACTTACACAATAATATTTCCATTGGGGTTAAAAATCCTATGCCTGTAAATGAACAGAGAGAAAAATTACCAATTTATAATTTGAAAAAAGACTTAATGAAAGCCATAGCTAAGAATAATGTCCTTATTGTAATTGGAGAAACGGGAAGTGGCAAGACCACACAAATTCCTCAATACCTTCATGAAGCCAATTACACGGATAAGGGCATTGTTGGGTGTACTCAACCCAGAAGAGTTGCTGCCATGTCCATTGCTAAAAGAGTGAGTGAAGAGTTTGGGTGCATTTTGGGTCAGGAGGTTGGTTACTCCATCCGTTTTGACGATTGCACTTCCAACGACACCATTATAAAGTACCTCACCGATGGTATGCTCCTGCGGGAGACCCTCAGCGATACCATGCTCTCCAAGTACTCCTTCATCATAGTAAGTGCCCACGAGGGGAGGGAAATAAACCGCAATTTGTCCACCAAATGTGGGTCATGGCGCTTATAATAACACGCTGTGCAGACATTTTAAACATTATGAAATTTTCTCCCACATGTTCCAACCCTTCACTCCTCTACAGCTTGATGAAGCCCATGAACGGACCATCTCCACGGATATCCTCTTCTGTCTTTTGAAGGTAACCTGCGCTTTTTTTTTCCCCTTATCCTGCCGTCAAATGTGCCTTCACAGCTTTTACGGCAGATCGAAGCCACAGTGCGCTCAGCCTGCTAATGACAACGCTTCATAAAAATTAAAAAAGCGTTGACAGGTATAGGGCTTACAAAAAAAAGAAAAAATAAATAAATTCCCCGTCCCACAGAATATTTAAAAATTGGTTATTTAAATTATTTGCAAATGGACGGGGGAACATTGTAAAGTGGTTAACGAGTCTACATGTCAAGTGGGAGGGATTTTCCGCAGAGCCCCTGCGATGTGCGCCCCTCCGATTTACGACCCCCCCGACTGCGCAACACACATACGAGGTGTGCATGTTAGGTACATTCTTATGTGTACACTACTCCTCCCGGTTGACTGCTCCTTGAACACCCCCCCATGTGTTTTTCGCCCCCCGCAGGATGTTGTCAAGAGGAGGCCCGACTTCAAGCTGATCGTGACGTCCGCCACGCTGGATGCGGAGAAATTTTCCACCTACTTTTTCAACTCTCCCATTTTTACCATCCCGGGGAAGATCTTTCCAGTGGAGGTACGGCCACGGGGCACGCAAACGCGTACCACTTTTCACGTCTACAATGCCCTACATGTACCGCCTGTTGCCGCTTATCCATGTTGCCGCTTATCCATGTTGCCGCTCATTATTACATGTGGCCGCTTACTCCCCCCCTGTCAGATTCTGCACTCGAAAGAACCGGAAAGCGACTACGTGGAGGCCTGCCTGATCACCGTGCTTAACATTCACCTGAACGAGCACCCGGGGGACATCCTGGTTTTCCTAACGGGCCAAGACGAAATCAACACTGCGTGTGAAATTCTGCACGAGAGAATGAAGAAGCTGGAAAGCATGTCCCCCCCGCCGTTGATCATTTTACCAATCTACTCATCGCTCCCCTCAGAGATGCAAAGTGTTATATTTGACCCAGCCCCACAGGGGTGTAGAAAATGTGTCCTGGCCACCAACATAGCAGAAGCTAGTTTAACCATAGACGGGATTTTTTTCGTCATTGACCCGGGATTTTGTAAAATTAGAAAATATGATTCGAAGAGGGATATGGATTCGTTAGTGGTTGCGCCCATCTCCAAAGCGAATGCCAAGCAGAGAGCAGGTCGAGCAGGCAGAACAGGTCCAGGGAAATGTTACCGTCTTTATACAGAAGAAGCATATAAAAATGAAATGGCCGAAACAAGTATCCCAGAAATACAAAGAATAAATTTAGGCAGTACAGTACTTTTGTTAAAAGCATTAGGAGTAAATGATTTCCTGCATTTTGACTTTATGGATTCACCATCCGTCGACACACTTATACATTCATTGGAAAATTTATATTACCTGGGAGCCCTAGATGATAATGGGTACTTAACCAAATTGGGGAAAAAAATGTCCAACTTTCCTATGGAGCCAAATTTGTCCAAAATATTATTAACGTCCATAAATTTTAATTGTGCAGATGATGTAGTGACGATAGTTAGTATGCTGAGTGTTCAGAATATTTTTTACAGACCTCAAAATAAAGCCCTTTTAGCAGATAAAAAAAAAAATAAATTTATCATGCCACAAGGAGATTTAATCACTTATCTTAATATATACAATAGGTGGAGAGAAAACAATTACTCCAATTATTGGTGCCATGAAAATTTTATCCAGTCTAGGGCACTGAAAAGGTCACAAGATGTGAGAAAGCAAATTCTCTCCATATTCGAGAGGTATAATTATGAGGTAGAAAAAAATCGAAGCAGAAATGACTCCGCCAAATATGTAAGTATTTGTAAAAGTATTTGCTCTGGCTATTTTAACCATGTTTGTAAAAGGGATGCTCAACAAGGTTATAATACCCTTTTAACAAATCAACAAGTTTTTATTCACCCTTCTTCTACTCTGTTTAACAAAAACCCACTCTTCGTTGTGTACCACGAATTAGTTCTCACAAATAAAGAATACATTCGAGACTGCACCATTATCCAACCCCAGTGGCTGATTCAGCTGGCACCCAATTTGTTCATCCCTGCCGATGAGAAGAAAATCTCCAAAATTAAGCTCCGCGAAAAAATCGAGCCCCTGCACAATTATTATGAGGAACCCAATGCGTGGCGTCTATCCAGGCGGAAGGGTTAGCGACGGGCTAGCGACGGGCTAGCGACGTCCAGGACCGACACACACATCCGGTTGGGCATTTTTTTTTTCTGTCCTTTTTTGTCCCCAAGATGTGCACACGTCGTTTGTGCTTCTCTCTACTTAGCATTCACGTCGTCTGTGCTTCGCATTTTTTTTTTTTTCCTTCTCCGCACCAACTGATCCTTTTCACCTCTGAACGATTTGTTCACCCAACATTTTTAAACAGAGGGTCTGCACGGGTTATGGATTCTCCACTCCCTCGGGGTGAAAACGTTCAACACTACTGGAAGCCTCTCAAAATGGCACTTACAAGGAAAGCGATTCAAATTGCCCCCTGCATGCGCGTGACAAAACTGGCTACTAAGTATTGCCGCGTGTTAAGGGGGGATCACTAAAAAAAATGAAGAAGCAAATGGTCAAGGGGAAGAGGAGATATATCCAACATCCCATCTTATAAGCTAACACACCTTAATAGTTCGACTTCAAGTCCCTTATAGACTCCGGCAATTCCCCCACCACCTGCAAAGCGTAAAAGCCCGGGGCGTATTTGCTGAGGTCGTTGTATTGAGCCATCCAAGATTTGGTTGGGGTTGTTATCGCCATGAACCCGTTGAAGTTCTCCGTCGTGCAGTCGTGGATACGGTGTCGGTCTCCGGCCATCTGCAAAAACTTGCAGTTGCTACAGCCATTCTGGTAGAACTGAAAATGGGGAGGGGGGGAGAAGGGGCGCAAACTATACATGGGTGCAAACTACATACCGCTTAACATGTGACGGGGGCCATAACCCATCTGGTGGCCTGACGCGTCACATCACGCCGCTTAATCGCGCTGGTGCTCACCTCAGCCTCCGTGCGCAGCAAACGGCAGCACAAACACGCTCGCATTTTCGTAGCCTTGTCCTCCTGCAACGTATTCCTGGACTTCTTCGGAGAATCCCTGCACAGATGGTAAAGATGCACGCAAAAAAAAAATTGAAGCCATTAGCAGACCAGTCTTGGGTGCGCACTTGGGATTTCCCTCTCGGGTGTAACAATAAGCATATGGTCCGTCAAATGTGACCATCTAATTAGGGTTCGGGATAATATCATCACTGCTGCTACGGCGCAGCGTCGGTGCTCCCCTTCCATGTTGCGCTTTTCCTTACTTGTTCTCCGAGAAGGGTTCATCTATTTTCTCTTTATCTGACTTTTTCCGTCCTAAAAAGAGAAAGTAGAAAAAAAAATGGGGACATGTCGCAATTTGGCGCTACGATGCGCATGGGGTCAGTTCGCATAACATGGACACAAGGTGGCCGTCCGGACGACATGCCCACATTTTGTTCAAGCTAAACCTTTCGGAGTTGCCATCTTCAATTTCTGTCCCTGTTCCTATTGCTATTTGTGCCTAAAATGCGGGATGGATCAGGAGGCCAAAAAAAAAAATAAAATAAAATTATCCTCTTATATCCATATGTCCCCAAAGCGCTTTCTTCATGTCGGTAGTTTGCTCATACATCAATTGAGGTAACAAATCCCTCTTCTTTTTCAGCCTCTACGCTGCTCGATTTTCCATTCAAATGCGAATTAGAAGAGGATAAAAAAAAAATCTACTCACGGAGGGGAGATGACATAGCATTTTATCTTCACTTTTGTATAGCGATACGATGCATGAAAAAATATATATATATATATATATGTTGTATGAATCCTTTGCGACAGATTGGGAAAAAATTTCCTTCCCCCAATGCTGCCCTTCTTTTCGGTGCCTACCATTGGCAAGGGGCATAAAGGGACAAGTGACACGCGGCCACCAAATTAGGCGAACCTTTTCCGCTTCATCGGGAAGAAATTGTTTGGTGGTATGAACGTGGCACAGAGAGAAGTTGCCCACAACATAAAAAAAAAAAAAAAAAATGCGAAATGTGCTGTCAATTTTGTTTGGCGTAGGAAATTTGCTCATGTGAAATCGTGTAGGAGAAAGGCTATCGCAGTTTTGCATGTAACGCGGTGGGACAGGATGCGGCGGTTCCTTCAAATGTGGCAAATGCGTAGAGCGGACGTCTTAATGGGCGGCAGGGTCACTCTCCGAAAGGGGCGGTCACGCCTCGCGTTTTTTAAGCAAATCGTAGACCCTTTTTGCCGTCTTTTTTTTCCCCCCAGCAAAAGGGGAAATGCCAATGGATGAACCCTTGCAGCAACTGCTAACGCGTCGTGTTGACACCTCCCCAGCACGCACACACCAAGTGACATGCCTCAGGAAATTTCTCCGGGAACCGTCCATAAATGCAAAATAAAAATTATTAGCTTTTGTGCATGCCGATGGCTAGCTAGCCCTTTTTGGACAGTGTAACACAAATGGGGGAAATTAAAAAAAAAAAAAAAACTTATATCCCCACTGTGCTTTGAGGGGTTGCCCCCCTTCACACTTCTCGTTGTGTACACCACAGAATTAAAAAATGCGTTGCAGTTTTAAGTTCATGTAGTGCTTGAAAAAA